CCCCAAAACCCCAAAACCCCAAAACCCCAAAACCCCTTTAATTAAAATATAATAGAAAGGATAATATAGGAAAAATGAATGATAGTTATGGCTTGATGTCGAATAGCCACTATTTGAATAAAAAGCTCGAATCCGAAATGACCTCAGAAAGAGATGATACAAACTCAGAAGTAACTCAGGTAAGAAATTCCAAATTCCCATCATAATTCAATCTAGTACCGGTTCATTCTCCCGATAATCAATAACGAGATCCGTAAAGAAGAGATAAACAAAGGCAAGAGAGATTAAATAAATCTTTACAAAAATCTCAAAAAGTAATTTCCCTCCTTTACCTCTAGGTAAACATCCAAATCCCAATCGCTCGGCAGATGGGCTTCAAAGAAGCATACGGCCGACAACTCTCAATTTCCTCATCAAGCAGCGACGACTACATGCGTAAATAAAGCTCCAAAATTCCCCCTAAAATCCACCGCAGTTGGCCCTGACGATCCTTCCCTGCCTAAACTCAACAACAAGGTACTTTCCCCTCCTAAATCCAGAACCTGAGCGACCAAATCCAGTTCGAAAACGAGATGCTAGCTAAGAACTCACCTCAATTAATCTCGTTCAAATAAGTCCAATAATTCTACATGTAAGCCCGTACAAATTTACTAATTTTCTTCCTGTCTTCCTGCTGTTTCTTGATTTTTTGAAAATTTGTATTAAGATTTTGGGAATTTTGGGAAATTTGTTCAGGGTTTTAAGGAAATTGGGGGAGAGGGTTGATGTGGTGTATAGATGCGATTAGGTATAAGAATAGGTTTAAGAATGGGAAGAATAAGTAAGTTTGGAGCGGGTTGGAGGGGACATAGTGTTATAGGGTTAATAAAGAAGAGATGAAGGAGCAGAAGGTGAAGGGACAGGGCTTGAGAAGTAGATCTACTTTGGTAAAGAATATTATTTTTGAGCCGGAGAAGACTGAGGTAGCAGATATCAAAATAGATACAGGAAGCTCTTTTGCAAGAGAAACTAGGAATCAGAGAAGGAATCTTTCTCCAAAGTGAGTTTAATGCATTGTTTGAAATGCTAAAATTGATATCTAGACAGACTAATGATATGAACCATGTCAAGAGTAACAAGATCAAGTTTTTATTGAATTGAAAAGATATATTGAAGCAGAATTACAGGAGAAGAAAATTTTCAACAAATCAGTTCTATCTTCACAATGTAATCTACTTTTAATCTTTAGGAGTCCCAAGAAGGACCTTTAATGAGAGAAATAATCTACATTCAAAATCAGAGAAATGAAGAGCTCAGGAAAAGCCAGGAAAATTTAAGATCCAAAAGTGTGACAAAGCTTAAAAATCCTTTCTACAACCGCTTGGAAGGAAGAAAGCGAAGTGTCGACAAGCTGGAATGGAAAAATCAAGTAATTTGCCTCAATATATTACCCTACATATAGACTGTGTCCAATATCACAATTGATCAGAGAGATAGGAACGAAAAGGTAAGATTTGATAAATTTATCAGAACTAAATTTTTTAGGGAAACAAAAACATTCAACCATCAATGTAATTCTTGTATTAATTCTAGGTCTGATGTTAAAAATGCTTATGAATACAGTTACTCAACTCCTAACCCTGTTAATTCAAAAGTAAAATACATGAACTCGAAATACCCTGAGAGGAGTAATGGCTCGGAAGTGTATTCTCATTCTCCATTCAACAATTTACAAAAGAATATAAATAATTCAGATAGTCTCAAGTATCTTTGCCTCTTAATTGCCTAGGATGAACGCTCATCATAAAAAGAATTCTAATAGTGCTTCAAAGTTATTCCAAAAACAGAACTACAAAATTAAGATGTCTCAAATAGCAGGAAAGCCAGATAATTTCCCTGTTATGGAAAACCCAAATGACAAAAATTCCCGCCTGTATCAATTCATCAGGGAAAGAATCAACAGGACAGATCAGAAGCCGAATTTAAAGCAAAGATTAGTTGAACCTCAGAGACAAAGTAAGGATGGTCTACCATAATATCTAGACCTGGACTCCATCCATAGCAATTCCGCCTTGAAAAAGGTGAATACTAAAAACAAATCCCTTATGAGTGAGATGCTGTACTCTAATAAGTTTAACTAATCCATTTAGTGCTAATAGGTGCTCTCTGAATCTTTTTTGAATAGACCATTGAACTACTTTTACCACGCTAGTTGGGAATATCCTTTAATAACACCATTTCAAGGGGAATTAATCTAAAAGGGGTTTTGGGGTTTTGGGGTTTTGGGGTTTTGGGG